GAGAGATGGTAGGAGAAGTGCCCAGTGAGAGAGTTTTGCTTGGTTCACACAGGAAATGAGATAGTGAGAAGTGAGTACAAATAAAATCAACTAGTGGTTGCCTTGTAGCCCAGTAGGATTCACCTGAGCGTGATGATCAGGTTGATTCATCATAAGTCCTCCGAACACGTATCATAGTGAGACACAGTGATTGAGAGAGTATACAGAACAAAACAGAATCTTCTACAGTTGGTTCGTGGTTTGATGAAAGGTTCTTATGATCGGTGGTCAAACAGTTAAGGCATCTACTTGCAAATTCTGTAGTTACAAATAGTACATCCTTGAATTCGGTCCCAGATACCATGCTAATCCAGTAACCACCTATACATGTGCGCACCGAATACACTACTCACAAATATGAGTAGCAGTTCACAACACTCGCAACATGACAACAACAGAAGGCATATGAAAGTGAATTTCAATGAACAACTGAAAACAAGTTATATTCGAAACTAACCATTTATCAAACAATACAGGTAAATCATTGTGAGGCGGAAAAATAAAACTGGATTACGACCAAAATTTAGAAATTCAAGGTTACCTGGTTTCGTTTTCATTTTTACCTCGTTCTATTGCATTATAGAAAGGGGGGAAGCGGGCAATCAAAAAGCTATCGTACAACACACACACACACACACACGATGGGGAATGTCAGGTGATGGTAGTGATCGTGATAAAATTCGAACACACCCTCCGGATTGATAATTTCGTGACCTTTTTCATCGGGTTACGATCTAACCGATTGATTAATTTTTTCCCTTGTTTCACAAATTTGCAATTTACAAACCACTGAACCAGTTCTTTTGGATACAGACAGTGCATAGGAAAATTCACGAAAGTGCCAATGATAAGGACTATATGGTCGTGGAAAAAGCGTTTTACCCAACGCATGGCGAATCAAGTTGATAGGTGCTGAAAGAAAATTGCATTAAGCATTCACAGCAATATGTGAATGGGAACAACTATTCGAGGTCTACAGTCAAATACTTTCATTACACAGTTTGATGCGATAAACAGTCACAGAAACTAGTCTCAACGTTTCAAGGACCGAGTGCGATGATGTTGATCCATTCGAACTTATCTCTCACGACCACGACCACCTGTGTGTATTGTACGGCAATCATCTGATGATTGGCTTCTCCTCCGTTCCTAAAAATTGCCTCTTCGTATACTCAGTAAAGGGGAGTAAAAGTGAGTAAAAAAAGCTGTCGATACACGGAAATGATGATAGGTGCTCACCTTTCACGCTTTCTTGACTGACCACTAGGTGGAGGCCGGGTTGAAGACCTGTAGTGCAGAAAATAAGAATAATAAGTGAAAGTAAAATGGAAATCTGAGAGTAGTAATTTTGTTTGAATCCATTCAACTGGTCACAGACACCAGGTATTGTTGATGGTCTTGGGTGTGGGTTTCATTCCTTGGGAGATCGTTAATTCGCACCAAGTTGAATGCATTTATAAGCGACACCCCGTGCTCTTTCACGGTCATTGAAACTATTTTCATGGCTTATAAAATAGGAATCATTTGATTAGTTACGTGAAAAGCTGATCCCTGTTTATATCACCTCGGAGATGACGGAAGGGATGGAAGCAGAACACTGTACACGGACGGACACATGGACATGGACGGACTGTACACTCAATTCGGTTCAGTTCATACAACAATTAACCATGCACTTTCGTGCGCCGGTTTTGTTTACTGTCTTTAGGTTGACCACTTGGATAAAACAGCAGAATGAAGATTGGAATGTTGAGAGCAAATTGAAGCAAAATATAGCGAATTTGTAGAGGGTGAAGTTACAAGAATGATGAGTCGATGTATAAGCGCGACTGGTTACGACAGCCGGCCATATCGCTGATCAGTGACCATGATCTCGGAGTCCCCAGCCAGGGGGCCTAACGAGACCTAAGTGACCAAGTCTCCTGGTAACGATTTTCATACCCTCATGCCAGGTCTTCGTTTGACCACCCTTGACCTTTAACTAACCACTAACTGCCTCGGAAAACATTGTTCGCCCTGGCAACCTATTTGGTAACATGCGTGGTACATGCCCCAGCCAGAGTAATCTATGAAGGTAGATCACCTGCTCCGGTGGACGACCGCAACAGCCTAAAACTCTGCGCCTCACCTCAGCATTGCTCGTCCGGTTACCTCACCAGACTCGAGCAATGCGACGTAGACAGCGGTGTTCAAACACCGAAAATCTATTTTTATCCTGCTACCGTAGTGACCAAGTCTCTGCACCGTAGAGCAGGACTGGCCGAAGTGCTGCAGCATACACTCGACCCTTCACAGACAGCCGGATGTCGCGACGGGACCGTACACTGTAGAAACGGACGTGTTCTGTTCATATTTTGCAGATCGGAAGAGTATTTTTACCAACATTCACAACAAGTATGTGGATGGGATTCGAACCCACGAATAAGAATCTCACAGGGATTACTGAGCTTTTCACAATTCAAACATAATGCCTCATCTGCCAAACAACAATCTGAACAAATAATATCGCCAAAAAGGTTCACTCAAAGGATTCAGGTGTATTGTAAAGAGAACTTGTGATGGAAATCAGATTACTACCTGGTGGATTCCACATGCCTCTGAAAGTTGGATATGAAAAAAATGGGTACTGTTGGTGAGGTCTCGCAGCTCAGTTGGTAGAGCATGCGCTGCACAGAAGCGTGGGTGGCGTCCATGCGTGGGTTGGAGTCTCACTGAGGCTACTGAACTTTCCACAATCGAAACGTAATATCATTATTGCAAGAAGACATATGTGGGGATCCCATTAGGACCAATCCTATCGATGGTTAACTCTCCCCAACACAAACTCGCTCAATGGTTGGCGAAGCTGAAAATCCCATTAGTACGAACCTGAAGGACATTTCAATTAAAAGAAGCAATACCCGACGTAGATTACCGCAGTTGTTTTCTCGCCCCTCACAATATTATCTCATTGTTCACAAACGTCCCGGCTGAGGAAGCTGTGAACGAAGTATGTAAATATGTCAATGAAACTGCCTTCTGTATTCTTGTGTTGATGAAATGGGTAAAGGGAAAAGGATGTTTTGCATGAAACATAATACTTAAACCTGCTAAACACCAAATTGAACAATTGCATAGTAATCGACTCTTCTGATTTGCGTCATGAGTGCACGAATTTTAAGGGAGACATACGACGTGGTAGGTTGGTGTATCAAATGAGACAAATAACCTACCCACAGTGTCTGGTGTGATACCACCTCGGTGACGCATCCACAAGTGTACTGCGGCCAGACTGAGAGCAATATTGGACAACCGATATTGGGTTGTGTCCGGCGCGAGTGTTTGCCACATAGTAGACAAATTGTCGGCGGAGGGAATGGTGTTAGCCCCGTCCAATAATCGAATCTGTTCTCCACGAGGAGCTAAAAACAGCGGACACTGAAACGAAGTGGTCGAATAGCGTGGGAGAGAGATAGAATGGTGACTGAATGGTGAAGTCCCATGACCTTTGCGTTTAAGCTCTAGAAATACAACAGTAGAACTTCATTGTACGAGTTCTCAATTTATGGAATGTGACGAAATTAAAAAAGCTTTCTTCTGCAACCAGACAGAACTTACGCCTACTAGATCGGCTTCCTTTGAAAGCACATGCATTACTTCATCCGCCTGGTCACGTGACACGACCGCATAGCAACGTGGCTGCGATGAAAAATGGGGACACGAGTAATTGTGATACATGAGGCGAGTGAACTGATCCAGTCAAAACGGACTGGAGACGGCACCGATAACGAATAATAATATTTTGAAATACCGAATCAACGAATCACTCATCAGAGAAAAAGCTCTGCATAGAACACAACTGCAGTCTAACACTAATCCAAACTCGAAAAAGCTAATTGGGAAGAAAAGATAATGGGGCATTGAATTCCAGATATCAACAGGGTACCTGTGATGTGTGACACTGACCTCGAAATTCACTGTACGCTTTAAATGCATTGAATATGCGTAGTATACAATTCGAATAAAGTTCAAGTGCTATTCCATTCGAAGTTGCTCTATTTCGGGGATTGGTATTGCACGAATTCTAAAATCCCATTTTAAATACTATTCCAAATACTATATTTGGCGTCGCGGCCG